AAATCTTCTTTAAATGTAAATATTATTTAAGGCGTGTTATTTCTGAAAAAAAATCGTTCTGTGGAACAAGCACTTACGGGCCAGGCAGTGTTATATGGCTCTATTTGAGCTGATTTTTAAAAACGGCTAACTCAATATTTTAGCCAGAAAAATATTGCATAAGCCTCGAGATTTCGCTAATAGATAGATAAAATCTTAGTTCCATTTATTAGCAAAATCTTCAGACAATGTTTTTCTGGATAAAATATAAGTTAGCCGTTTTAAAAACTGGCTCAAATCGAGCCGTCTAACAATACTACATATAATAAATTTTACATACCCTGAAAAAATGGAAAATTTCTTTAGATATTTTAATATGGCTGCGACGTCCACTGGAAAGCTTAATATATATTTTTCCCAACCTTTACTAGTCCAGAAACCTAACTCTATGAAGATTTAGATGACCTATTTCAAAATCATCTCCACACTACATGATTCAAGTTTTTATTCGCAAATTATGTCATTAATTATGTTACTGGGTTGTTAAAACGATTTTTTTGTACTTTTGTATGATCTATAAACTTGGTACTAAATTTGTTTATAAAATTCATTAACTGACTTTAAATGATGGTAAGATAAATTAGAGGCCTTCTAAATCTTAAAAACGCTTTTTTTCTGTCTCTTTAAGATGGACTCCTCTAAATTTAATTCCTTTGCCTTTAAATTAACTACTCTCCAAAACTTATCGAATTTCTATTTTATCTTTAACATTTTGAGAATGTATTGAAGAACTTTGGATTTTAACATTTCCAATTTCTCAAATATTGTTATCATTTTATTAAGAAACAAAAAGGCTATATTTGGTGTAACAAATATTTTGTCTTGTAAGAAACCTTACTGCGAAGGTATTTATAATTTTTAATAAAAGTTTATTTGATAATTTCTTTCTATTGATTTTGGGATCTTATTTGCTTACACCAGCCTGCGGGGTAAAATAACCTTAAAGAAGATGAACTATCATTTTCATCTTGGATGTAACGAAATGACTCTATGCGATTTGGTGAATCCCTTATAAAAGATAATACTTTTTTGAATAAAAGAGGAATTCAATAGTATTGAATCAGTCATGTATCGATTTAATGTATGACCTGCAAATGTACAAAGATTGATCTAGATTCTTCATTAAGACGCATTTCTAAACAAGATATTCCACTAACGTCAGAAGCTCCATTGTAACGTCCTCTGCATTTTTTGATTACTAAAAATATCTTTGATTAATTTATATTCTCTATAGGGTAACAGCCCTCATAAAAATTTGTCAATAGGTAAGAGCCCAGCTGACCCACCCACTCCCTTACCGTGAAATCGCTGACCATGGTCATGGTATCATCTTGGATTATTAAAGGCGAAACTGATTGTTGATCATAATAACAAGGTATGGTTTTGAGCTTTTAAATACCTATACAAAATAAAATATCACTATGATAAATTGAAAAACTTTCTTCATTTGCAAAGATAAAAATAATCGAATTTGATAACATAGACATAGTTAAGAGAAAAAACAGGGAAACTCTTCTAGCATATTTACGAGTTTTTTGCAAATATGATTTGGAAACTAAAAAAAATACCCTCTTCCATGTCTCCATCTCTGAATAGAATAAATACTATAAAAATTGTGGCTAATGCACTGAAATGTATGGAAGGGATTAGGGATGTAAATTTCCCGGGAAACTATATTTCGGGGAAATTTGGGGAAAAAACGGGAAAAACGGAAAACTATCTTTTTTATAATACTTTACAGGTCAATATTGATTTTTTTTTGTTTTATTGAAAATATATACATTATAATTAAACAAATGTAAATTATTTTCAATTACTTTACATGTTTTATTTGAAATATTATATATAGACTAAATAATATTTAAACAATTAATTTTGAATAGTTAATTATCTTCGTTTGAAGATGAAAATGATTCAGATCAGAGCTTGAAATTCTGGAATCCAGCAATTTGTCATTTTCAGAAATTTCCTTTCCCATAAAATGTAGATTGGCTCTTATATAAACTAATTTTTTTATTCTATTTCTAGATTTAGAATGAATATTTCCAAAGGAGGACCATATTTATTCGGATACTGCACTTGTTAGTGGTACTGATAAAATTCGTATGGCTAGGGTCGATATGTATTGATTGCAACATAGACCTAATAAAATATTGAATAACACAATTTTAAGATTAGAAAAAGAGTTAAGTTATTGTTTACAGAAATATAAAAGTATTTAACCTTTCCACCAACTCACTGGATCTGTAAATGATGCGCCTTGCCAAAGACTTGCTATATTAAAAAAATCTTCCCTTGCACGATATTTGGATAGGTTTCCTATTACTCTTGCAATATCTAAATCTAGATATCCAGAAAATCGGTTAATAATATCCAACCCCTTTGCAACTTCATTGTCTCTTAAATTAAATCCGCAAAACCTTGGGTCAAATATATGAGCAGCATAATGAATGTCCCGACAATAAAAAATTTTTCGGCTTTTGATAAACTGCTCTATTTCTAAAATCTAGCTCTGCGACAATATATTTGATATTGTTTTATAAGCATTAAATGTCTCCTTGATATGAATAAACGCTTGAGGGACATCAGATAATTAACATAACTTAAAATTTCATATATTATTTATAAATTTCATTGGTATTTATTTATAATATAAATATACTTTTCAGATTAGCTATTTAATTTTAACAAGTATCTTCTAAAATTTTGCAAATGTAATTAGAGAAATTGACATAATTCAAAAATAAAACACAATTATAATTTATGATATGAACCACGAGGAAAAAATGATTTTATAAAATCTAATAAAAATCGTATTTATTTTATCATAAGATCATTTTCAAAATTGGGAAACTGTTAATATTATAAAAATCATGTTGATTTAGGCAAAAAAACCTATTATAAAAATTGGGGAAACTATAGGGGAAATTTCCCCTGTCTTACATCCCTAGAAGGGATCATAAAGGAATGGACGCTTTGAGTCCTTCTAAATCCTTTATCTCATTAAAATGCAGCAAAGATTCCAAATAATCGGATAGAAACATGATAGAACCACGAAAAACTCTTAAAAGTTTCTTGGAATGTTATGTTCCGCTCTAATATATATTCAAACTAAATTTCTTAAATCTTAAAAGTTATAAAAATGACTACATAAATGATAAGATTTTTGATGTAAAGCTATGTACAATACAAAATGAAAAAAATGGAATAAATTCAACAAGATGTTCAGCCACAAATGGAAAGATGAACGTATGCAAGACTCGATTGACATCTATCAGGTTGAAGTATTTCATATTATAATTAATAAAATAAGTTTGACTGAACGGTTTTTGATGAATAACTTATAACGAATGTGCAATTTTCCCATATTTAATAATGTGGTTAAATTAAAGTATGACACTATTTTGCATTAGCGAGTTTAATAGTGAAAATAAGATAATAACTGAGTGCAATATATGATTGATAATTGTTTGTGAGTTCTTTCCGTATATATAATATACATACATTTGCCTATGGATAAATTAATTTTAACATTTCCACATATATGAAAAAACGTTTAGAAAATTAAAACTAGGTTGGGGAGTAGGGGTCAAGATAAGTTGATTGATGTCTATTTAAAAAGAATTACAATACAAATTTAACTAAAAGAAATTCTCAGTTTATATAAATATCTTGAACTATCAAAAATTGTGATATTTCTTTTTTTTAAATCTTTTTAAACCATGTTTGACCTGATCCAAAATTTTTTTTACAACCAATCGACAAGTTTTTGCAACAAAAAAAATTATTTTAGAAGAAAAGTTCAATTTCAATGAAAAATATGAAAGTAATGAAAGAAAATTTATGTTATTCATGATATTTTGCCTATGTCCAATATAAATTAGCCCAGTACATCATCTGACTTACCCAAATTTGGTAGGATTAAACTAGGGCTGTGCTGGTATTAAATATCGGATCGGCACCGATATTTAGCATTTTCCAAAATATCGGATCGGGCCGAAACCTGCAAAAACTCGATCCGATTTTTTTTGCTATTTTATGTTATAAATATTTTTTTAAAACAATGCAAATGCACAACACCCCCAACATTTTATTTATTATTAATCTTTTATGATAACGCCAATTTTATTATTTATACTAAATAAAAGAATTTTTTAAAATATATTATCTGAATTATGGAAGGATTCTATAAAAACAAAGATAATTTTGCAAAATGCGTTATCTGTGGAATACAAATTCCATGTGGAGAAATAATGAAATATTCATATAGTATCAATATCCATAAACATTTAAAGCAATTCCATCAAATGGCATTTGAAGATCTAAAAAATAAAAGTAGAAAACAAATCAATTTTTTTAAAAAGAGCTCAGATTCTTAATTAGACTTGGTTCAAGGGGGGAGGGGGTGATAAAAAAACAGTATAAATATTGGATCGGCACAGCCCTTGATTAAACTAATGGTAGGCATCAAGAACTAAAATATTCAGTAATTTACCTTTAAAAATTATGTTAGTATACTAAGTAAATATATCAAATTATAACATTCTTTATTGTAATATCATTATTTACTATAATATCATTATTCATTAATAAATACATTTGTATCATAAATGTATCTTATTTTACTAATAAATTATGATTTCCCAGCATTTCCTTAAAATCCAACCATCAATTTGGGCAGTTTTATTTAAATATCGATTTACATATTTACATTCAAATTTAGAGATATATAATCTTACTTAATTATTATAATAAAATATAAAATTATTTTAATCAATTTTTTTTAGTAAATTATAAATATATAATTTGGCTTGACACAAAATAAAAATCATAGAACAAAGCATTATAATATTATAATAACAAGGAAGAAATTACACAAACAATTAAAAATTTCGTTTTTCAAAAAAAAAAGTTTAAAAATTGCTAAATTTAGCTTATATCGATAAAACACAAGGCAAATGTAGTAATTTCTAAACCATTTTATTTTCACGAAATAATTTAAGTAATGTTACATATTTTACAAACCCCCCTCCTCTCTTGGGGAAAACTATAAAAAAATTTGGTTGATTAAAATAAAATATAAATGAATACGGATTGTTACAATGGGAATAAGATGAAATGGAGCAATGATTGATAACAATATCTTTGGGAATATTTCTTAAAAAATCATGTAGTAATCATATTAAGGATTGAGAACACTATTGATTTTTTAAGGTGTTAAGATAATTGATGTGTGTGGATGGATGGAGATGCAAGGCAGGATATTTTAAGATATGCAACATTGTTTATTGGAGGCCTTGACTTTGAGCCTGGATTTGGGTCGATAATGTTCAAGATATTCCAATTGTTTAGAATTTATAGCTCCCCGTCTTTTTCTATCATATAAAAAACATAATTTTATGTGATTATTTAATCTATTTTATTGAAAAGAATTTAAATCATCAGATATCGTGCCCATTAAAAATACAATATATATATATATATAGGTTAATGGACACTTAACTGTCTAATCAATTCCACTGCATCATAGTATTTCATACCACTCTCAATGAGGGCAATGGCAACTAGTACAGGAGCCCTGAGTATTATGTTAAATATATTAAGTGTAAATTAATAATTGATATAAAATCATAATATATAACAAAGTTGGTTAACTAGTTCTATATTATTGAAAATTGTAAAAAATGTTATTATTATAAAACCAGTTTGAAAAACAAATCTTCCAAAATCAAAGTTTTTAGGCAAAATTTTGTGATTTAATCATGAGATTTCTTTATGCATAAAAATTACAAAATTTTAACTTATATATTATTTTTTATGAAAAAAAGATGAGCAATTTTAGGTTAAATTTGATCCAAAATCCTGCTTAAGAATTCTTTAGATTACAATTCTTTGAAGCATATTTTAGAATCTTATTAAAACATTAACTATAAAAAAGAGTTTAGCAAATTTTAAAATAAAAGGAAAACATTTGGTTGAATATATTTCATAATAACATAAATATTGGCATTATATTTACAATGAAAAAATCTAGTATATTAATAAAATACATATAAACCTGCCTAGTCCAGCGACACAGTGGACAGCAACACAGGATTCAGGATCTTTATTAAACCTTTCTCTCAAGAGTTCAAACCAGTCATCAACAACAGTGGTTGGAGGAGCCTTTCCATCATCAAATGGCCAGTCCTTTGTAAAATAAAAATAAATTATAGTAATCTATGATAAATTTATCATATGATAAAAATAATTCAACAAAATTATATAATTGGCATAATATTTTAATTTGTTTTTACCAAAACTCGAATCCCCTCAGCTGATAATACTTTTGTTTGATAAGTTGGATCACAAACCCTGACAACATCTTTGACATTTTTTGATTTTAGTTCCTTTATATAGAGAATAAATTAAATTTCTAATTCTCAATGATTGATGGCATTAATATAACAATGTAAAATTGTGACCTTGAAAATTTATTCAAAAAAATAAACTGATAAAAACAGGTTTAAGCTAAATATATCTACTAAATCTGAATTTTCATTATACATATTTTTTAAACAAAATAATAGAGTAGATTTGTTTACCTCTAAAAAATAGTGAATATTTTCATCTGTTGGGCGATCCATGATAAGAAAATGCAAATTTTTATATATAATTTCGGAAGGAGGAGGGGGTTTTAGGTATCCAATTTCAGACATACGTTTATTAGTCATCATGTATATAGATAATGTCAATAGTCGAATAAATTATTTTACATAATTAGGTTAAAAATAACGTAACATAGGCTGAAATAAAAATTTTCGCCTATTTTTGAAATTATTTTGTGCAAGGAATAGACAAACAAAGAAGAGAAAATATATTAACCCATTTAATAATTTTGGATGTCGGAAATATTTAAAAATGTATTTAAAATCCGACAATAATTTGGTGTGTTCCTTTTTGATTCAGCTGTGCTGTGCAGGGCAGAAATCGTCGCTTGATTTGATGAATTCCAAGAATAATATTCCAAATGTGCCACAAATCTGCATATATTTTATAATAATAATTAAAAATATGATTGCTATAAAATTATTATATATTTACAATAATGTCTTTCTTCATCGATTTCCAAAGTGATTTATATGGATTGAATAATCAAATGACTTGTTAACGGAAAAAGAATAAATAATGATATCCAATTAACCGTCACTAATCACATTTTACCAAATCAACAATTTTTAAATTAAAATTTAATATTTATATAATAATTTTATTAATAACATAAATCATTAAATATATATAATAAAATTATAACTTTATACTTATGTCAAGAATATAACATACTAAATAAAATATATTCCAGTAAATTCTTTTTTTATTTTAAAATTTTTATTTGATATATGATAAAGAATATATTTTTCATCGTTTTAAGTTAGATATGAATTATACTTATAATACATTAACTTGCTTAAATAGAAGAGATAATTAGTCAATTATCTTAAAGGAAAAATATATTTAAATAAAATAATTGAAATATTATACAAACCTTTTTATAAAATATCATTAAACCCATTTTACTTTCTAATCAAGATATAAAACGAATATGAGAAAGTTCTACAGCACAAAGCTACAAGATTATTTTTACTAAACTACAAGCACATATAAGACTTGTCTCGGCTAAAACATCTGCCCTTGCCTAAATATTTTTTTTCTTATCTATTAATTAATTCCTCCTTATACATATTTTGATATTAGCTTTAAATTATATTACTTTGCTAATTTTAATTTTATTCACCACGTGATCTCTTGAAAATTATGACAAACCTTTCAAAACAAATTTGTCTTGTAATGTCTAGGCTAAAACAAGCAATCTGCCCTCATAAAATTTTTTTTTTTATCTATTATTTATCCACCTGTTTTTATACATATTTTGACATTCGCCTTAAATTATCTTATTTTTTGCTAATTTTGAATTTTATTCCCCTCATGGTCTCTTGAAAATTATGACATAAACTTCAATGTCACCGGAATTTATTTTAACATAAATTACAACTCTTTCATTAAATACTAAATGGTTTTATGGCCCAAGATACAATTTTCTCAATTAAATACGTTGAGAAAAAAAATTAAAATTTTTAATCTGCTTAAATAGAGACGCCACATGAAAATCCTAGGTTATGAAGTGACGATGGTTTTGGTGGTGATTGAAGTGGACTTTGAACATGAAGATGTATCGTCAGAGAATATAGACAAATTTTGGGATGCACAACTTAGAAGAAAAAGATTCTGAAGGTAAATATAAAATTATAGATGTAATGAAAATCGCATTTTGAAATGAAAAATATTTTGAAACATGTCTTATTACCATTAAAAAAATGATTGGAACTTTGACTCAAATGAAATTAAAGGAAGATAGGAATGTACTAAAAGAAAACATATATATAACTTTAAAAATTCTACTAAAATTGGAGTTTATGACATTCATAATATGAAACACGCTGAATTTTATTCAATAATTATTCCAACATATAACGAATCTGCCAAATTTAAAATTCAAGGAGCTTATGAATAATTTTTTTCTAATCAAGATATTGAACATGCTATTACAAGGCTACTTACTTATAAATAGGCCTATATGATTGTAATATTCAGTATCATTATAAGAATGATTTTGTATTCAACTTTCAATGCACCCTTAAACCTGATAATTTAATAAAGCACATAGTGAAGAATTTAATTAACATAAATTGATATATATAGACAGAAATGACAAATACATTAGATATAAATAGGATTATAAATAAATGTGATAAATGGTAATATGATAGAATGGAAATTTTTTGATTACATGTTAAATTAAATATTTTATACTTTACCTTTTAGGAAAATTGGAACCAAATAATTCTTACATTAAATGATGTCAATTTACAAATATTCTTATAAACCAAATAAAAACATATTAATGTATATCAGAGACCTGCAGGCCCGGCCCTAAACCCGGCCCGGGCAGGGCCGGGCCGTATTTTAAATTTTTTAAATATACCCGGGCCGGGCTGGGCCTAAAAAAAATTTTTTTAAACATATCCGGGCCGGGCAGGGCCTAAAAAATTTTTTTTTAAATATATCAGGGCCGGGCCGGGCCGGGCCTAAGATTGTTAAACCCGGGTCGGGCCTTAATATTTTTTATAAAAATTTTTACATTATGAGTTAATGGTTATAAGATTATATTATATTATAGTTATGATTAATATAATATTGGGTGATGGTTAACACTACCTAACAACTAGTGTTGTTAATCGGCTTAGCCGAGTCGGCTCGAACAGAGCTCACCCAAATTTTGGGTCGTTTTTTTCGACTCCAACTCAAAGTTTTGGTCGTTTTTTACGACTTTGACCAGAGTTCAAGCCGAAAAAAACGACTTCGACCCAAAATATGGGTCGTTTTTTTCGACTCCGACCCAAGTCCAAGCCGAAAAAAACGACCTCGACCCAAAATATGGGTCGTTTTTTACGACTCCGACTCAAAATTTGGGTCGTATTTTTCGACTTAAACTTGAAGTTTGGGTCATATTTTTCGACTCAAACTTGAAGTTTGGGTTGTTTTTTTCGACTAAAACATGAAGTTTGGGTCGTATTTTTTGACTCAAACTTGAAGTTTGGGTCGTATTTTTTGACTCAAACTTGAAGTTTGGGTCGTATTTTTCGACTCCAACTCAAAGTTTGGGTCGTTTTTCTGACTCAGACTCAAACATCGGGTCGTTTTATTCAATCCGACCCAAAATATGGATCTTTTTTTTCAAAGACGACTTAAAGTTAGGGTTGCTTTTTTTCACCCCTAACCCAATTATCTAGATCATTTTTTTCGACCAAAAGTCAAATAACATTTAGTATATATTAATATTATAGGCGGGAAAGTTACTTAAAGCTTCTTTAAATTATAATGCTCTGATTAACTATTCATCATAGTTATATTTTAAAATTTTTAATTGATGTACCATAGAAAAGTGCCATTTGTCATGATAATTATTTTTGAACTTTTTTAAATGAAATAGATAAAAATATATATTGTAGACATGTTAAATCAAAATTTCAGTGATGATGTACCATAGATAAGTGGTAATTGTCATAATCGCTATTTTTAAACTTTTTTGAGTTTTTTTAAAGCAAATTGCTAAAAATATATATTCTAAACATGTTAAATTAAAAATTCAGTGAGGATGTATCATAGATAGGTGACAATTGTCATAATCGCTATTTTTGAACTTTTTTCAATTTTTTTAAAGGAAATAGCAAAAAATATATATTCTAACCATGTTAAATTAAAAATTCAGTGAGGATGTATCATAGATATGTGACAATTGTCATAATCGCTATTTTTGAACTTTTTCAAATTTTTTTAAAGGAAACATCTTAAAATATATATTCTAAACATGTTAAATTTAAAATTCAGTGAGGATGTATCATATATAGGTGACAATTGTCATAATCGCTATTTTTGAACTTTTTCAAATTTTTTTAAAGGAAATATCTAAAAATATATATTCTAAACATGTTAAATTAAAAATTCAGTGAGGATGTATCATAGATAGGTGACAATTGTCATAATCGCTATTTTTGAACTTTTTCAAATTTTTTTAAAGGAAATAGCTAAAAATATATATTCTAAACATGTTAAATTAAAATTTCAGTGAGGATGTATCATAGATAGGTGACAATTGTCATAATCGCTATTTTTAAACTTTTTCAAATTTTTTTAAAGGAAACATCTTAAAATATATATTCTAAACATGTTAAATTCAGTGAGGATGTATCATATATAGGTGACAATTGTCATAATCGCTATTTTTGAACTTTTTCAAATTTTTTTAAAGGAAATATCTAAAAATATATATTCTAAATATGTTAAATTAAAAATTCAGTGAGGATGTATCATAGATAGGTGACAATTGTCATAATAGCTATTTTTGAACTTTTTCAAATTTTTTTAAAGGAAATAGCTAAAAATATATATTCTAAACATGTTAAATTAAAATTTCAGTGAGGATGTATCATAGATAGGTGACAATTGTCATAATCGCTATTTTTAAACTTTTTCAAATTTTTTTAAAGGAAATATCTAAAAATATATATTCTAAACATGTTAAATTAAAAATTCAGTGAGGATGTATCATAGATAGGTGACAATTGTCATAATCGCTATTTTTGAACTTTTTCAAATTTTTTTAAAGGAAATATCTAAAAATATATATTCTAAACATGTTAAATTAAAAATTCAGTGAGGATGTATCATAGATAGGTGACAATTGTCATAATCGCTATTTTTGAACTTTTTCAAATTTTTTTAAAGGAGATAGCTAAAAATATATATTCTAAACATGTTAAAGTCACCTATCTATGATACATCCTCACTGAATTTTTAATTTAACATGTTTAGAATATATATTTTTAGATATTTCCTTTAAAAAAATTTGAAAAAGTTCAAAAATAGTGATTATGACAATTGTCATCTATATATGATACATCCTCACTGAATTTTAAATTTAATATGTTTAGAATATATATTTTAAGATGTTTCCTTTAAAAAAATTTGAAAAAGTTCAAAAATAGCGATTATGACAATTGTCACCTATCTATGATACATCCTCACTGAAATTTTAATTTAACATGTTGAAGTACTTTGCGATCGGGTCATGATATTTTATTAATAAAAATTACAAAATTATTTTTAAACATAAAAAAGATTAATCAAGATTTTCAAAATTATTTTACAGGAAAAAAATAAAGTATATCCAAACTATAAAAAATTCGTCCCTTTTATAGGGAAAATAAAAGGCGCAATTATAAATTAAAATTAAATTGGCGCAAAGTGAAAAAAAGAACGTTTTTGTGGAATCGAGTTGTGTTAGTTTTATCGTACATAATTGGGGATAAAACCTACTCCCCTAAACTTCCCGAAACTCAAAATATACCTTGGGATGCAGGGTGGTCTCCCGGACCCAACGGTCTAACTCATATTTTCGGATCACCTTACTGAGGACTCCTAAAGTAAGAAATCCAGTAAAGTGAGAGAAAACACAAAAGCCATATGTGTTAATCTCACTGTGTTTAACTTAAAACAAAAATTACCAAAAAAGAAAAACATTTTTTAACTTTCATTTTATGGTACACAAAGGAGATGGATAAAAAAAACTTTAATTAATTTTAACATATACAAAAGAAGGGGATAAAAAACTTTTACATCTTA